AAAAAAAAAAAAAAAAAAAAAAAAAAAAAAAAAAAACACATCTTAGTAAAACCAATACCTTCTCAGCTTCGCATCGAAGCCAAAAAGGGGTCGGAATGATTATTATTGTTGGTGCAAAAAGAATGTGTAAGTGAGAGTTACTTTTGATTCGGGGTGTAATTCGAGGGTCATAAAATAACGATGTAAAAAATCTTACCTGGTAAATTCTCTGGTTTTTATAATTATCTTTAGTGATGATATCGGTGAGAATAATAAATAAAGTACACAAGTTCAGATTTTCAGTTCACAAATTAACACATAAAATCTCGACAATGACGATCACGACGTTCGCACAACTTAATACGGATCACTAAAAGAACAGCCCAATACGGAGCATGAAATGAACAGCCCGGAGCAAGGGTTTGCTCTGGCTTTTTATAATATTTTTTTACCCCCAAAAATCGTCACTGTCGAATTTTTAGTATAATTGTTTATTGATAAGTAAGCATGAAAAACACAGAGATCAATACAGATGAATAGAACATAAATTAGTTTGACGTTTTACATATATAACATTAACATGTTTTTTTACAAGCGAGACGAAAATTGATACAATGCATTTGACTATTAATAGTAGAATAACAAAGATGACAAAAATAATATATAGATTTTATTTTGGTGAGGAAGGATTTTTAAAGTAATTATTAATTGATTTATGATCGAACCGCATACACTACAATGTAGTTAAACAGTGTGAGTCTTTTGACTATTTCTCTTAAATGTTTATCTAAGTTTTGTTCGAAAAGGATCATGTCCTTGTAAGAATATAATGTATAATGAAACAAGTTAAAATGTACCATTTCTATGGATAGAAGTAGTGACTATTTGAAATGAAAAAATATATACTAATAAAAACTAAAAAGATAACATTGTTGAGTACATGAACAGGGTATTTTAGTGTTGTCTCGTATAAATAATAGTGACGATTATATTACGACAGTATAATGCATAAGTATATCTTATTGTTTATTTTATAATGATATTACATTGAAAAAGAAAACCTTTATTAATAAACTCACTTACAGTTTTTATTTGTGTAAATCTTTTTTTATGTAACCAGAGATGTTTTACAATCAAAGTTAATATTACACTTTTTATTCTAAATTTTTAAGTTACATAAAAAATGACTATTAAAAAAGTAAAATAACAATTATTTATCAATAGTATAGGTACACCCGAATTTTTCTCTATGGTCAATAATTAACTTCAATGGAAATAATATTTTAGCCAAACTGTAGAAAAAAAAAAAGGTATACTCAATTGGTTGAACAAATAAAAATTATTAACCGTTTATAAATTAAATTACAATTAGATTTTATAAAAAAATAACAGTTTTTAATTTAAGAAAAAATAAGTTAAATTATCATTATAGGTAGAATTTTTTTAATTGGTACACAAAATTTAATCATTTTTTCTAGAAAATATAAAAAAATATTTTTACTGATGTTTATTTATCTTAATAAATCTACTTATCAATAATTATTTAGGTTAATAAATTCAAATTAAGTTTTGGGTGATACAATCGTATATTTAATGAAAATTGCCTTTTTTATTTTAACAAAAATGTGTACACTTATAACAACAAAAACTGAAATAAACACGGCGTATTTTTTCAAAGTGAACTTTCAACATTAATTTTTTCTGATTTACGAAGTTTTTGTTTGAATTTAGAAAACACAATTATTTATATTCCGAGCTTTTATCAACATTTGACTATTATCACAATAAATAAGAAATTGATTTGTTATTTCTTGTGATAATAGTTACACAAACACTAATTTAAAGAGTATGTTTTTCATAGAACAACTTGAAACTAATCATATCAGTGTTCATGTTATAATGATAAAACGAACCACTAATAAATAGAATAGTTTACAAAAACTATAAAGATATTTAAGTTAACTATTTAAATTATTACTATTTCAAACTTGTATTTTATGTATGCATAATATGTATTAAAGAGAAGACAATACACAATTATTTTCTGTTAAAAAGAAACTATTATTTAAAATCGTAATAATTATCTAATCTATCGTAGCTATAATAAAAGTAATTTAACCAGTAAAAGTGTGTAATGTATTAGTAATATATTTAAAGTACTTTTATAAACATTATTTCAATAAAAACATGTCAATAGTATTCATAATCAAAAAATATAATAAATTTATATATTTCCAATGAATAATAAGTTTTTACAGGAATAGATACTGCAGAAAAATTTACTTACAAAAAAACTACATATTTTTTCTTTAAATATTTTTAAAAGTGTATATAAATTTCTTGTAATCTATTTACGAACTTGAAATAATCATTTTTTAGTAGTTTCGACAAATGTCACGATATCATGTGAATTAAATGGAACTTCAGAATACTCTACTTCGACTAATTTTCTTAGATATCTCATTAAATTTTTAAAGTCATCTATAGTAAAATAATTTCTTGAGTTATATATCCAATTTTTTAAAATTTCTTCAGATATAGACTCGAATTTATTCCAAAAATCTGTACAATTTCTAAGAGAAATAATTGATTGGTTGTCTAAAAAGTCTATATTAATTGGGTATCCTAATACTTTAAGAATATTTTTTATAATTGTTCTGTATGGTTCTGTGATGTCAATATGTTTTTTATACAATTTTTCAACTACTATAAGGATTTCTTTCATGACTGGAATTGGTATTTTATATGATAACATGAACTTATCAATTTTTGTAGTAGTATATCTTAATAAATTGAATGCAATGATGAAACTGTCTGCGTGGTTTTTCATTAGTATACCACAATATGCAATCAGGAACACATATTTCAATGCTCTAGTTTGCATGACTGTTTTGTAGTACCCATAGAAAATGTCATCGTTTACCTTATTTTGAATTTCAGCAAGAGTGATTAGTGTTTGTGTCCCTTCGTCGTTGAATAATAAAAGTTCTTTGCCCGCATAGTCTAAATTAACGTAAGTTCGTCCCTTACACAACATATGACCACAAGTTGATAGAATAATGATTAAAAAGAAAATTGTCATTTTGAAATTCTTCAATATCAGAGTATACTAAAATGATATATAATAAATCCAGAAAACAGAATATGATTTTCTTTACTAACGTGTAGTATTTAAATTAAATGTATTGAAAGCATTTGAACATATTGTTCAAATACATACAATTTTATTTAATTAATAGTAATAAAAATAATAAAAATGCGCACACGAGTGTTTAAAAATATATTAGTATACTTAGAATGTATTTTCGACTATTATATATTTTGGTGAGTTATCATTTTGTCATGTAATTTTCTATTTTTGTTGTATAGTCGCGTTATTTCAAAATTATCAGTAACGACATTATATATTATTATTGTCTCTCATTAGATTTGCTGATTTAAAATAAATTGTATTCTTATTACAACAAAATCAGACATTACGGTGACGTCATTTCTGTGTGTGGCCTTTCATCCGCAGTTGTTACTAACATAAGCCATCCGTCTTATGCAAGAAAAGTGAATAAGTTTTGTGCCTTTAGTCAACATTTGACCACTTTTACAATGAAATAACAATTAGGTTTGTAAATTACTAAATGCGACCGTCCCGTACTGTAAATTGATACTGATCGCATCATCTTGTTTCAAATCTCACGGGGTACTCGAGGGGACTTTTGTCCTTTCCGTCTCTTAGTTAGTTGAAACAAAGAATTAAACTAAAATGGTTATATATAGAAAATATCCTAACAAGTTAACATTCCTGTCAAATGGGTCTCTGGAGCTTCAAAAATGTTTACGATTACTGGCGCTATCAGACGACAGCACTGGTAGAGGCATAAAAAGACAAAGACTTGTAAAAGGTATTGTCAGAACAAACGATTTCCGAGTGCGAACCGTAACAAATAAATTCCTTGCCGTTGCGCACAATATAACAATGAATTAACCCGATAAAGTAGTTCGAAAGTATGCCATGTTGTCTATTAGCGACCAAAAAGTTGGCGATTTACTGCTAACAGATAAACAAATGAATAGCTACAAAAATTACTCTGTGAAGTTTGTAAAACTGTGTTAGAAATTGCTATTGTTGAAAGTTCTAAGCTCAATTTTAAATATCGATATCATCACTTATATTTCTATTATAAAATATAATAAAACATATTTTAAATATTAATTTATTATTTAATAAAAGAAATTATAATATGACGAATAAAACTTTCAGAATCCAATTATTGTTGTTGGCTCGTGAGAAAATATCTAAAAAATAAAACAAAATTGGATAGAGTTTCTTTTAACTGAATTTTATATTATACTTAAAAAATATATAAGCATAAACATTAGAAACTATATAGCAACTTATTTATAAAAATCAAAAATAGGTAAATAACAATTATTCTTTATGAAATAAAAATTTAGCAACAAATTCTTAGAACTTTTTGTAAAAGAATAAAGTTAAAAACAATTTAAAAAAAAAACAGTATTTATATAGATAAATTTATTTTTGTTCAACTAATTTAGTTGTTTGATATTTCACAAAAATTAATTAATGTTTTACCAATTTTTATGAATCGTAAACATTTTTTTAACGAACTCTTATTTTTTTTAACACTTGATTTAGTTTGAAATAAACATTTGTCTAATAACTTATAATCTACTATTAATTATAAATAGAAAAAAACACGTCATAGTAAAATTAATACCTCATCAGCTTCGCATCAAAGCTAATATGGTAAAATTGTTTTCAAATCTATGGTCTAATCTTACTTTCTCTGGAGAATATCTGTTAGTTAACAAAATGATTTTTTTATGATCCATTATTGAAAAACTTTGACATAAGGGATGTATTTAAAAAATTAAGTAGCCATGAAAATGCTAAAATTTTAAAGAGTCCATAGGAGTTCTCGAATTTTAATGTAATAAAAATTCATAGATAAACTAATGCTTTTGTTTTTTATATTTAATATTATTATGAAATCTGATAAACCTTAGACATATTCAAGGATTTACTGAGAATGCGTAATAATATTTAAAAATACCACGACGAAAAACTTAACATATATCTGAGGTGTTAAACTTCAGATTTTATCATACGAATTCATCTATTATACCAACGCGTATCATTGTCTTGTTATTGTACAAAAATGAAATATAAGTTACACATAAAAATACAAATGTACCTTGAACCGTGCCCACAAAAAAAAATGCGGACAATAAAATAAAATACAATTTATAAATACAAATCAAATTGTATCACAGACACTATCGAAATACAACCGTTAATATATTAAATAATAATACTTAACACTCATTTCTTAGTCTTGGTTAAAGAAAAGGGAAATCATGTGCCTCTCCGCGTGAGAAAATAAATATAATTAATAAAACGTAGCTCATTATGTAAATATAATTAAATAAAACGATACCCAGTGTTCGAAGATACCCATTTGATGGTCTCAATGATTCACCGACAGGACTAGACATTTACTGATGGCGGCTTCACATCTTCAATAAATTGTGTAAAACACCAAAGACAAAAACAAAAACCTGTCCATACTAAAACAGTCAATTAAAGAAAGAATAAAGACGAGCCAACACCTATCTATCTGCGATTTTAAACCAACAACGGTCAGTCTTTTTGAGGAATCAAAAGTGATAAATAATTCTATTTTAATTGTATTTGTTCTTTTTGGTTGTTTTATCTAGCGGTCAGTAGTAAAAATAATAATAACTAAATACATTTTCAATTAAAGCATAACCTAATCATGAATACTAGACATTTTATAGTATGTTCTATTAAAATAATTATATAAAATGAAAATTAAAAAGTTCAATTACTATTAAAAACAATAACTTTATGTAATATAATACAAAAAACCTTAGAGTATTTTTTTTTAAAATTATAATTTAATGTTGTATTAGACTTAGAACTTTATTATACCTCACACTTGGTAATAAAAAATCTAATTATTTATAACTACTAATTGATAATTCTTAAAATAATTAATATTAATTATGGAGCTTTTTATCAATTGGTCTCAATTTATTAAGTAGATTGCTATAAAATTTTAAGATTTTATAGTGAGTATGTTCTTTACGAAAATCAATTAAAGCTTAAAATTTTAAACTACACTATCCTAAATCTAAACTTTATATTGACGGAATTTGAAGCAGCTATTAAATATAAATATTTCACATGAAATATTTTAGACTTTAATCACTAGAAATAATCTTAAAATTGTTTCAAAAATCTTTAAGTTTATATTTGGAACCTTAAACTGATATTTGGAAATTTTAACGATGACTCAAAATAGTTTTGAAATCAATTTGTATATATTTCAAACATTCGAAATTTTGATTTCAAGTCATATAGTAGACAATTAAAAAACATTTTTATATTTTCAATTAAACTGTGAGCAAATAAAATTTCTAATGAAGAATTCTTAATAAATTATTAATAAAATTTTGAAACATATTTTTTTAATTAGACCTCGCCACCAGGCCCTAAAAATTATAACAGAAACCTTTTAAGTACGCATTAACACGTTTTTTTTAGTAAATTAATGGAGCAAAATTTCCTTCTCGTTGCAGCAATAGTAAATAAAAATACCCTTGTAATTTTATACCATAGACTATTTATTGCATTCATGATTCTGCCTCAACTGGTCTACCAACAACAAAAAGGTAGTTTGTGCTTACAGGCGTTTTAAATATATTATTGGTTCGAAACAAATATAAATCATTGAAATATTTTGACGTGGACAAGTTCAAAGATACCTAGTCGCTGTTTTCAGTCAATACAACAGCTTAAAAAAAAGAAAATTTTTTGAACAAATATAGGCATAAGGAAATGCATTTATTTCATATATTTTTTATGTATTAATTGAACAACTTGTGTAGTGAATATGGCTATCTTTTATGAGCTTTATCCGGTGAGAATAGGTTTTTCATAAATTGAAAATTTCCGGTATGTTCGGGACATCCCTCACGGCCATCGTGTTTCAGGCAAAATATTTAATACTGTTTATTTAAAATATTATTATTGTTTGGAAACCTACACTCAGTCATATTTTGTTTGCACGACGAAATATCAGTTTTAAAACAGGATTTTCATACTTTCCGGCGTGGCAAATACTTTTTTATAAAAAATTTAAAAATATACTTACACAAAATGCTACTAGAGTTTAGAGACTGTGAAATAACAAAATTAGTACAGGTTAGTTTCTGTTTAATAACTTACAATTAATTATGTTATATTTCTAGAATATTAATTTTAATTTATCCATTAAGACCATTATTTATTAATTTAAACAAATTGTTGAGATTTGATTTTCACTGATAAAGTATATTTTCAAAAATTAAATATGTTTTCTTCGTTTCAGTCAGAATTAATTTCGTTAACGAGAAAGTTTTCAATCTTGTCACGCTGTTTTTGGACTTCCTTATAAGTACTTTCGGATAGTGAATACTTCATAAGATCAATCGCTCCGTGATGTTGGCCCATTATGAAAGCTAAGTTACCGAAACACTTACCGGCTGCCTTGACGTTTCCTTGGTCCGTGGCTTTCTTTCCCTTCATTATCTGTAACAATATTTTAATTAGTTAACACTTGGAAACTATACGGATTTAATTCAATTTTTTTAAAACCAGACAATTGCGTCTAGTCTTAAAAAAATTGAAACATTCTATGCCTATAAGGTTTATATTTTGAAACATTTATATAAATTATATAGAGAACATATTAGAGAAATCATATTATCTATGAACATAAAATCAAATTTGTTTTGAATATTTCAATATTCAAAATAATTATTGTAAATTGTTGTGTCGTGTGTTTAGTCAGTTCTAAAAAAAATATTTTACATTAAAGTTTTATAAATAATTTATTATAACTAAACAAATGATAAAATCTGTAAACTATAAGTGCAATATGCTAATTTATTTGTTTTTTTTTTTAGGTGAGTTATTATTTTTTTTGAACAAAACATCGAAGGTAAACTTGTAAGTTATTTTTAAATATACACAGTTTTCAAATAATTTTTTTAATGCGTTATAGGTATACTATTCATATAATATGATTTTTTTTGTAATTTTAAGATGTTTGCCATTGTAACATCCTTTGAAAATATTGTAATTTTTCATGCAAAGTTAATATTTTATATTACATCATATATCCATAAGTTCTTACTTTGAAATCAAATATTTGAGATATCTTAAAATATGATCGAAGTATTTAAACTACATTAGAATTCTGTTTCATGTTTTGAATTTAATTTAAAGATTCACATTTAACAGTATAAATTTAAAACTATAATAAATAATTTGCTTCATTTTACTCAATTCTATAAAAAATAATAACACCATAACTACCCCGACTTCTGTTAGAAAGTATTGATCATGCGAGTGCTCTATATAATAAAAGCTTAACGTTTTGATGTTTGATCGTAAAATATTTATAATACTTATTGTAAGTAAATCTAAATAAGTTCAACTTATATTCCATTAAATTTACTTGAAATTCAAATTTTATAATATCCGTTAAATTCAAACAATTTTGATAATTTTTTTTTAATTTTAATTTTAAGTTATTTGACCCGAGGCAAAATCAACATTTTTTTGTAAAAAAATTTATAAGTTTTAAGTTCATTGAAAAGTTGATACCAAAGACAAAATATGAATATGAAGTAACATGAAAACTGAAATTTCAATTAGTACACCATCTCGAACCCTTTGATGCTAATAATTAATAACATAAACTAAGTCAATTTTATTCTCGAATAACACTAATAGAAGTTTTAGAGACAAATTTGATGCTAAGATAAAGTTTAACACTTTGACTGACAGTGTTCTTCGCGCATAAACTTTGTGATGGATTTGAACTTTGTTTTTAGCTTGATGCACGTTTGCTAGTAGAATTACAATGTTTTTTCTAATGATTATCATTAATTATCGAAGATTGCATATTATTCGAAAAATTCAACTATCGCCTAAAACAAAGAGGTAGAAAAATGTTTCTATTGGTAACTAAATATACAGAAAAATACACTATTTTACAGTAAAGGCGTTGCTTGTTTAGTTTCGATATCTTCATGGCCGTTTTGGTTTATATTAGTGTATAAAGCGTATTCAGTAACCCTGAGGCAAAGCAGTAGATACCAGAACTCTATCGACAACAGAAGGCTTATAACGAGTTGTTAACCCCTAGCAATTTGTTGAATTAACAGTTAGCTTTTCAAAAGGGTTGCAAAATCCAAATGTATATGTATCCGATCCACAACCACCAGCCGAATTTCATTTTCTCTCAACACATTAATAATAAACATCTCCTCAAATTAGGTTCATTTACATACTATCAGCGTTTGTCTGCACCAATGCCAACTCAATAAACATAAAATTATTATTTATATTACGAAAGAAATCATATGATTTACAGTGTTTTGATTATTTAATAAAATAATGGACATAAAGAGCGCTGAAATGATCAATAGTGGAATTTTTCATTAAAAACAATGAAATTTCGAGAACAGAATCTAATTTCACGTTTAATATAATACTTCTAAAAATTAATTTTTTACGATAGAAAAACTTTCAAATAATTTTCTTTGACAAATTAGTTTTTGAAGCAGAGTTAATACACTAAGTATGAAAAATAAAAATACAAAAAGTAGCACACTTTATTATGATAGAATTTTGTTAACTCTTATTTAACACGGTTGAGTCCCCGGCAGCTGTGTCTGATTATAGCTTAAAAAATTCTATTTTATTTTACTCGAAATTATTTACAAACTCTATTTTAGTATAACAATCTCATGTAAAATACTTTTATATTTGTCTCAATGTGCATCCTTATCTATATACAAACTTACTTGGTACGTAAGAAAACGCTTCATAGAGTCACAGTTATACTTAAATGATTTTAACTTCTTAATCATACATTTTATTCTAACTGCATCTGAAGAACTTTGTTTTTTTTTAAACGATTGTTTTTCTATGTACACTGATTTCCATATTATTATTGCTGTCAATCCAACAGTGATCATTACAACAGGCATGAATCCGTTTAATCCATCAGCTGTACACTGACACATTAAAACAGAAAAACTTGAAAAATAAAATATAAAATTTAAACAAATCTAGTTTTACTCCCGTAAACAAAAAAGATAAAAATGTTTTTATTTTATTTACTAGAAATATATTGCGACACTTTAATACATTCAAATATTGTTGAAAAAAAAACAATATTTAAATGTATTATTTTGCAGCTGTTATTTTTATAACAACTGTCAGTTGCTATATAATTTTTTTATATGTTTATAAAATGTTAAGTATTTTTTTATTTTTAATAGCTTTTATTATATAAATATTAGAAATAATATATAAATATAAGTCGTCAATTAAACCAAAAATACTTTAAGTATTACGGTTTAGATTTTTAAGTTGAGCATGTAACATTGAAATTATTGACTTCATGATAAGATATATTTTTTGTTTCAAAAATCTTATCAACTGTGAGTTACTAGCATAGAAAAAAACTCAACTATAAATAATGTAAAGCGAAAATAGTCTACAATAGAACAGTCTATACTTCTCATATTAAGTTTTTAATATGTTCTTATAATGTTTTCGACAAATAGTCAATGACTATTCAGCGTTTAAAAAAAACCTTTTGTATCGGAATAATTAATATATCTATCAATTTGTCAACCTTCAAGTTTTTGAAGTGAATACTTTTCTTAGTAGGCTCTGTACTTCTTTGGAATAAACGGGTGAAACGAGTCAGCAACACTCACAAACGTTAAGCAGCGACACAATCAATTGAAACCAATATATCTTTATACATACATTTTTTATGTGCAAATATGTATACGTGTGAGGGCGCATCAGAATTATCGGGATTAAATCAATGTTAAAAATAATATTTCGTCGAGTGCTTTCGAAAACTGATTATTTAAAGAATGTTTAACATGCTCAGATACAAATATTCACTGGACCTACACATTCGTTTTAAAACGTTCTTCGGTAGTGATTCGTATCACTCTCACGCTTTTATATATACTCCCTCCGTTTCATCATTGCTAAATAAAGATTTTTTATCTATAAATAGTAAGCTAATCGACTTTTCAAAAAACAAATAATCAGATATTGTAAGTATGTAGTAATAAGTCTAATTAGATCTAGTTGATTTTGCACAAGGAAACGTAAAAAAGTTAATGCCTTACAATATTGACGTGGAGCTTAATTATGTCATATTACTCGATGTCGCGTTTGTGTAACGTCATTTATTAATAATTCTTTATTAAAGCTGAACACGCCTCTCTTTGAACCCAGGCTGTCATACATGAAATATCCACATAGGTTAGTATATAATGGACCCTGTACTGTGTCACTTTGTGTGACCGTCAAGTATCAATATTTTACAAAACTTAATTCATCCCAACTCTACACCGAGTGTATAATTTCATGCTCTTCATAGTTTTTCGAGTGGATCCGATGACTAAATCATTCAAAGTTCACGTGCACCATCATTTTCAGTCTATATCGAGTGTTTATTTCATTAAAGCTCGAGAGTGTATTTGTATAACAAAAAGCGATTATCCTTTGTGAAATACCGATCGCTACACGTGTAATATTTGTCGGCGATCGTTTCAGTGAATGATGACAGATTCATACAACTCCATGTAATGAACAGTTTGAAATAAATGAAAATACCGAATTTCTACTGCTCCACTACTTGATACACATCATAACGATTCACTATGGACTTGGCCATTTCATATCCAATCGCTGTATACTATTAGGAAACGTTTACAAGCTTGTAACATTTACACATAACGTCACTGCGTGATATTTTTCATTTATTCGGTACGTTAAGCTTACAAAGTCACGGTTTACAAACAGTTTACAAGCGCATATATACATGTGTATATGAATTTATATATATATATGTATTCACGTGTGTATGAGTTAACATTTCCTTCGGAGTCATAGCGTTGGAGGGTCGGAAAACTGTTGCTGAAAAAACAATCATTCAACACACAAAATCCCCTTTCTCCAAAACACACGGAAGTGTCTACGAAAACACATTTTCATATATAATGATAACACTCGATGACATTTACACATTTCTTTCCGTCTCTGACGTTCCAATAGTCACATTTTTTTTTTATTCCACCGATGAGCCACCGGCCTATGTAAAATGATTGGGAGTAATCGACTGTGCCCATTTTCCAATCGATGCGCTCGAACCGCAAAGAATGATTACAAAATAACGTTAGGATTATATGACACCGAAAACGAATTTAACTTAATGATCGCGTAGTTCTATATGTATTTTATACATTAAGCCATTTACATTATTATATTTTTGCGGGAAATGTATAGTATCGTTATATATAATTCCATTACCGCTTCGGGGAGCTTATCAAGGTATTCTCTGTAACTGTCGTTTGAAACTTCGTTAACAGTGCATCGTAAAAAGTTTTTTTTTTTTTATTTCCTATTACTCTTAACGCCTTTAGGTGATTTGGTAAGCTAACGGTATTATTCTTAGCTTTATACCTATGGCGTATACAAAANTTAGTTCCTATTACTCTTAACGCCTTTAGGTGATTTGGTAAGCTAACGGTATTATTCTTAGCTTTATACCTATGGCGTATACAAAAACCCATAGAAAATTAAGAGTCGCGAAAACATGGTTATTGGATTTTTTTGGTATTTTGTTCAGTTAATGCGATATATAATCATTTTTTTACTAAAATACAGCGCCGACTTGGGACTCTAAGACTATTATTATGGGCTCGGTAGCAATTCGTTTACATAAATTACATTATATAAAATAGATAATGTCCTAAGACATAATTACAAACTATTATTTACAATATTAAAAAAAAAAAATACAGAATAGACACATAATGGAAATTATTTGAATAATTCTAAATACAAAATATTCTAATATTTCATACCATAGTTTTTTCTTCTTGTTATTCCATAAACATATTTGAGCCCTTATTAATTTTTAAAATAAATCATTGAATAAAGTTAAATGTGGCATGGGTTCAATAGGTATTTTTATATAAAATAATATAGCACTAAAGTGTTGAAAATTAAATCGAGTGAACCTATTTAAGTTTATAAACTATGTAATAGTTTCTTGTATAACATTTAGTTATTTACCGTTAATATATGAAACGCGTATGTATTTAAACACTTTTAGTTGACAATTCGTATTTATGTAAACGTTTCTTAAGACAAACTATAAAGTATCTGTTTCATTAGTAGTCAACGATATTTAAATAAGCTAAGTTGTTTTGTGTTACTGTTAACAAACGGGGAGATGTCATTTGCCAACGTGTGAAAGTTATTCGTCTTTTCATTGAAAATAACGAATCAAATTTAATGTTGATTATGTGTCATAGTATTAAAATGGTAATTCTTATCCAAGTCGGTATACCTTATACAACATAAATGTTATATTCGGTCGTTTCACATAAAAAATGTCTGGAACATTTGCATAAAAGTAAAATATCAAGCTATTGAATATGAACAGACCCCTTTTTTCAAAGTAATATCTCTGTTAACTAAAATAGAGGTCACTAAAACTATCGACATAAAACAAATACTTAGCTAAAACGCAATTTCAATATTTTTCAATCTCGTCTATGATCTTATTGGGATTGATAACAATTAAATAACATTTTATACAGGTAAAATTTTAACTATTTTTATCTGGTTTAAACAAAGAGTACCGTTAATTATTTAATTTATTTACAATGAAAATTTTATTAAAATGATTAAGAAATGATAATAACAAGTTAATAGAATTTTTCATAATTTGATTTTTAACTAATTAGATTTAAGTTAAAAACACGATACTTACTATCTGACCATATTTTAAAACTTTTAAATTAAAAAGTGCTTGACTGAAATGGATTATACCTCTGCATAGTTTATCGAAAATTCTAAAAAGACCATAGGTTAATAAAATACATTTATATTTTACCAGTAAACAAAATTCTTACAATTAAATTTTATGTATGGTTTATGAAATTGTTATCTTAAAGTTTTGAATACTAAGGGTGCCATTCCCTATCAAAGTTCAATTATAGATTGAACAATAAGTAAACAGCAATGAGGATTACAAACGATCAAATGGATCAGACTATTCGCAGGGGATTAAACACGGCGTTATCAGTAAATTACTGAGTCGAACGTTTTCCGGGGTGGCTGCTAAGGTCAAGGGTTTTCCGGAAATTCAGAAAAATTAATAAGCGGACAGAACAATGCGCTATTACTTGCCCGGTAACGTAATACGCTTAGAGTATGGACCGTCGATATTAAAAAATAAATAATAATCATTTATTATGAAAACAGGATAATGGCGAGTATTACAACTATTCTGGGTCCATGTATATTTTTTTTCGGCGAATAAGTGAGAAAAACTAGAATACTGTGAAATGCTGTAATACACGTGGCATCTTTATTAATAACTATCAAAATAGTAATAATTTATTCAGTCTCAGGTATGTGGAATGGTCGAGGGATGTCTATTGCAATATTCAGTCAACGGGAAACAAGCCAAAACACAAACCTCTTGCGCGATACGTTTATAAATCATGCAGATTCCAGCCCAAAACTACAACTCCTTTGGTCCTTTGCGCCCTCGTACCTACCGGTCCCTGACCCTATCCTAAGAAGGCGTGCCACCGGAACCGCACACCGTGAAAACGTTTTTGGCCACGGCTGCTGTTGTTCGCGAAAAGGTGCGAATAGAAATTAATTATATCAACACTAGTACATCCGAAAAGTTAAGGGGTGGAAATCCGCAATAAGGAAAGAGGTGCGCGTTTATGTGTATGTGTGTCCGGTTCGTTTTCATAGTATGTATATTTTACCTATTACAGTCCGCTCTTTGATATTTATCTTTTACTCGTCCAGCCCAATTGAAATCTGAAAAGGGATCCGTCAAAAGGATATTACAACATGTATACGAACACACGTTTAAAGGGTTATTTTGCAAAACGACCGCAAACAGCAGGAAACATTCTACCCTAGTATCGATAGTCCTTTAAAACTACTCTAGCACAAGGGTATATTAGGTAAGGTCGGAACCGGAAATCGATAGATCTCAAAAAACAATCATATGGTAGGCAAATAATTTTAGTTTACAGCCAAAGTGATTAAGTCGTTTAAATGGTCATGGAATACATATTATTATTGTTATTTAATG